AATATTTGCAAAATAAGCAAGCGGAAAGAAATTTTCGAAAATAGACTTGCGCCAGGCATACTTACAATTGGAGGTGGATTCGAAAAGTAGTGAGATACTAACATTGAATATACATCGCGCATTATATAAAGTGAATCAGTTAATGTACGGTATCGCATCTGCACCGGCAATTTGGCAATTTGTAGAGAACTATAGAAAATATATTACAAGGAATTCCAGAAACGGCGGTATTTCTGGATGATATTGTGGTTACAGTTGAAACAAAAGCATTACATTTACAAAGATTGGATTTAGTTTTACAGCGGTTACAAAATCACAATATAAGGATAAATTTAAAAAAGTCGAAATTCATGATGAAATACAATATTGCGAATTTACATTACGGAAGGATGGAATACTTAAAGACAAATAGAAAATAGAGACAATTAGAAACATGTCGCGGCCTCGAAATGTGCAGGAAGTAAGAGTATTCGTAGGAATAATCAATTATTACGGGAAATTCATACAAAATTTAAACTTAATACTATCCAATACTATATCCGCTAAATCAGTTGTTACACATAAATGTTCCATTTACATGGTCAAAAGCACAAGAACAAGTTTTCATGAAAGCGAAGGATGCTTTTCTAAGTGATCAAGTACTGGCACACCACGATTCGAAATTACCTCTAATTCTGGCCACAGACGCAAGTCCTTACGGGATAGAAGCCATATTATCACAGTTATATCCCGACAGAACGAAGAGAGTAATACAATATGCGCCTCAAACATTGTTAGACACGCATAAGTATAAAAACGTCTCGGAGTATAGCTTCCGGTCTGTTGACCAACGTGACGAGATTGGTCGCCAACGTCCAGGATCCCTTGCGTAGAGTGTCAGGCGTGGAAATCGAGTAAGAATCGCTGGCTCTAAAATGAAATTAACTTCCACTCTTTGGTTGTGGCTTGCTCGTGATTCGGCGCTGAGATGATGTGTTCCTTCGCCAAATTTTGCGGTCGTGGCTTCGATGAGATTGTTAGCGGAATGCAGCACAAGTTTTTATATTTTAATAAAATCAAAGAGACAGGTTATGTCACACACAAAGGTTATATAATTTTGGCAGTTGAGAGTATACAAAAAAGAAGTGTTAGAAAAATATAAGAGAGGAAAACTCTATATGAGCCGAACATTGAAACGAAAAAATCATGTGGCACATGGCTTTAGACCAATTCAAACTTATAAACAAGAACAAAAATAAATGTGTAATTCACATCGATTACTCTACTCCAATACTCCTCCTTAAGGCAATGCCAGAAGATCGGAAAAATTTGTACGAGGTCGATAAAGCAGACTCTTTAGTGTCAGTGGTATCTCTAAATGAACTTCTTACAATATCTTCTGTCTCACTCAAACACGTGGAATGTTCTTATCTAACTTATTGAAGTGCCATCTCTTAGAAAATACGGCACTACTGCCAAACGTAATTTTTACTGTCTTTACCTCAGCCGAGCGTACGAATTACCACAAATTGCATTCTAAGCAATAATTGTTTTTCTACGCTTCCAATCGTAGCTTAAAAAGTCTTGTATTATTCGTGTGTTACGTCCGGTGGAATCCACGATTTCTCCGTTCGGGAACGTTTGCTTCCCAGATAAGGGACTTAGAATAAGATAAAGCTTATTGGTCATCAATTGGTGAACAAACATCGACCCAACGAGATTGACCGTTGTCTGTCTCCTTGGGAAGATTTATTTCGAGAAAACATTTTACGAAGATTTATTTCAAATTATCGGAACAAACAAAAGAAATTTCTAACAGAAGAATTTCGAAAACAGATAAAAACCTCTTTTTTTATATACACATGTATTATCCGCGGCAGTAAAATTCGATTTCAAAATGCGCCCGAGATCCATATGTTCCAAGATATAAGAAAAACAAATACTGTTTAGACATACCGTCGCAGTGGAACTATAAAAACTCACAAAGGGATGTAATAAAATTTAATCTCAAAACAAACTCTAGATTTCTGAAATTTCGTAAGAGAAAGTTATCTC